ACCAAGTGAATAACAAGCAATATGTGTATAATAGTGTGGAATATTAGAACTTTATAAATTCATTTGCGTTTTTTGAGAAATCGGAAATAGCGTAAATTACTACTTCCGATCAACGGAAATTACTCACAGTTTGACAGAAGGCAGATAATTAGATATTTTACTTATATGAGAAATTTCATTCATCTATCTGAAACAGTACTCAAGTTATAGGTTTTTGAAGAACCAAAAGTAGAATAAGTTCCACTACCGTTTACCGGAAATCTGTGAAAAGTTGATACAGAACTACAAATTTGATATAATACTTATATATGAAATTTTCGCAACCTAGTTGTAGCGATACTTAAGTTATCGTGTTCACATACATACATACATACATACATACACACAGACAAATGAACGAAATTGCAAAATTATATTTCTCTGACTCAGGGAGGTGTAAAACGTCCAGATTTTTTTTCGATTTTTTGCACGATTACAATACTTTTTCTATACTTCAAGGAGTAAACATCGCTATTAAACGTGTTCACGTTGTCATTTTAATTATCTTTATATTAAATTTTGGTATTACAGTATTGATTAAAAGATAAATGACGTTAGTGATCTGTTATGACAATTTAATTTAAGAATCAATTAACATGTCCGTTTCCATGTCCTATTAATACTAGCTACCATAATATTTGAGGTCGAGAGAGCCAAGGTTATAGTAACAACAAAACAAAGGGGGTTATGGTTAGAACCGCGACACTCGTACAGGGCGGTAGATCTTAGTTTAGGTTAGGGTTAATAAAACGGAGTAATTTGGCGAGGAAGAGAAAGATTCTTCTTCGTTCTTAATTATACAATTTGGATGGGATTTCCTCACATACAATCAAGCAATAGTGTCAGCATATGATGTGTATTATAACTTGTTGACTCCAGCCTATTTTTCTTTCTGGATTTGCTTCTACAGCCATTGTCCACCCAAAAACAACCGATGAGAGCTTAGTTTATCGTAAAAAACGGCGTAGTTTGTTGAGGATGAGGGGGGAGAGTGTGCGGTAAACCCCGTGTATTTTATGTTGTGAGTAATTCGAGTGAGTGAGTCTGTGTCAGGTGGCGTTGACAGCTGGTCCCACCTGCAACAGGTGAGAAGTTTACCCCGTAAGGCAGGCGTGGCTTGAGTTAATTAGTTGTCATTATCTCAGGGGAGGCCTGATTCAACAGGTTGAATGATGGTTGCACTACCACACCCATGTGGAGTTAAAAAAAAATGTTTAGATGTTTAATTTTTTAAGTTTAACCTCAAAACAACTTGGTTTTAAGCAGGGTTCAGTAAATCCACGCCCTGTTCATTTGCAATGTATACTCAAGATACTATGGTGTCATGATGTTTGGTGGCACATAAAGGGTTGATGTCAATGCGACCAAAGATTGCTTGTCGCCCTAATGTGTAATGCCCCCCCCCCGTCCTAGTGTATCTGCCATCTTAGCTCCCCAGGGGTACAAAATGCCGCTAACATTACGGCTACTTTGGTAACATCTGATTGGTAAAAATAATAAGCTTATGTGGTCGTTTAGATGGTGTTGTTTGTGTGTGAGTATGTGTGTGGTGTGTATGTGTGTGTGTGTGTGTGGGGGGGGTGTGTCTATGTAACTTTGGTGTAATTAGATTTTTTCTAAATTCAAGAGCCCGATTAAAATTAAGATTTACAGCCATCTTACTGCATTGGTCGCGTACCCACAATGGGTATGACTTACCCTCTCCAATCCATCCAGTGTTTCTTTCAACAAACGTTTTTCCCCAGCGGGTGGGAGCACATTTTAAAGTTGGGGAATGGCACTTTATAGTTGGGGGGTGGCACTTTATAGTTGGGGGGTGGCACTTTATAGTTGGGGGGTGGCACTTTATAGTTGGGGGGTGGTACTTTATAGTTGAGTGGGGGGCAGAAACTAGTTGAAGGATATGTGTTCTATATAAACTATATCATTCGTTCGGGGAAAAGGTATGGCATTGGAGTGCTTCCCCCCCCCCCCCCCAATCAAAGAGACACCTGAACTTCATTGAACAGAAAATATTTCGCCTATATTGTTTATTAAAAAAATTAATTGAACTTTCCTCTGCTTTAAATAACTGTTTGTGTTTTGATTTGACGCGAAGTGTCTGGCTTGTTCTGTCAATAGATAATCTCGTTACAATAACATTCTGTCGTTTCTTGGTTTTATCCTGCGCCTTTTGATCTGGCACGTGTGATTTGTTTGTTGTGTAAACAATGCAGAGTACACTTTGTTTACGTGTATGGTGTTCTTAGTACATGTGGAACATGGCAACAATAGTATTTTTTAATACACTATGGCAGGGGTCGGCAACCTGCGGCTCGCGAGCCGCATGCGGCTCTTTAGATGTCAAGATGCGGCTCTCCAGCTCCTTGCACAAATACTAATAACCTTAACAAAAAAATTAAATATTTGAAATAAAAAAATGTTAGTGGCTCTTTAAAACCAGGGAAATTTTGAAAATTGTAACTTTTGGCTCTTCCGCTTCAAAAGGTTGCCGACCCCTGCACTATGGTATTCTTAATACATGTGTGACATAGTAAAAATGGTATTCTTAATACATGTATAACATAATAAAAAATATGGTATCCTTAATATATGTGTAACATGGTAACGATGGTATCCTTAACACATGTGTAACGTCTGAGTTGTTTTTAAAAAGGTGTATCATCTAAGTATAGATGAAAATATGTCGCGTATGAGTTTATATTAACCACCTGTTTAAATGATACTTGTATTAACCCAACTGTTGTTTCGATGATACTTTATATTAATATTACTACAACACTTGTTTAGTTGATTCACGTGTAAATACAACTGTAGTGAATTATCTATTTTTACTACAGCACGTATTTATTTTATATTAATGACACATGTTCGGTTAAAACCGCTGCTTATGTAAATGAGTTATGTAAATGATGTTGTGTGTCACCGTGTAACTAGCCGTGTAGCACGTGTCTGGTTGTGTGCACGTGATGCGGGTGTTCCCGATTTTAGCATACGGAAGTAGGCGCGCTAGGGTTAATGTTTCCTAAATGGGTCAACATTTGTCTCTAAAGTTCTGATCATAACTAGCAGGGGTTAATGTTGTCTGAACGACCCGTGTAGGGTTAACATCGAGATCAAGGTCTCCCAATGCACGCCGTGACACAGCTTGTTGTGTTGTGCATCGATTAGTTAGTCAAGCTTATGGGAACGTACTCACACAAGCTTGTGGGAACGTACTCACACAAGCTTGAGGGAATGTACTCACACCGGGCTGTTAACAAAATACTTTCGGATAGCTCACACCTAGTGAAAGGATCTAATAATTCTGGATAATTTGGACATTACGTACTTAAAGGAACTAAATATTTCTGGATAATTTAGACAATACACAACAAACGGACTGAAAAATGTTTTAAAAAGCCAAAACGTTTGACTTACTCTAACCGAGTTTTGACACAGTTTTCAATGCCTCTTAGGAGTTCCGCTCTAGCTGTAAATATAATTTGGATATTTTGCTGATACTGAGATGGATAGAGCGGATGTTTATCCATCGCTGATCTGATGTGCATATACTCTGGATATTAGTGTGGAAATGTTGTGAATAATTTGTGCATTCATTGCAGATGTATTGAGTTACTACGGGAGCTGTAATTGTACTGTGTTAGTCGTACTACTGTTTATTAAAATTGGGTCAAAGTTAGGTTAACCGAAGTCCCTGGATGTAGTGTGGATTGTAATGTTGATGAATTGTGGATATGCTAGTCTTGTAATGTCGAGATACTGTGGAAGGTATGTGGATATTGCCGTGGATGTAGCTGTGGATCTAATGGACCCTGTACCGCGATGTTGACTTTATATCAGACTGTTTTCGTGCCGTCTGCTCAATTCGCATGGGGGACCTTCATGTGATGACCAAGGTGACGTCATGTAGGCTTTAACCCTAGACTGCATATGTTTTATTCCCCCGCTGATTTGAATTGACACCACACATTTTTTACGCTAACACAACTCGACGTATTTCCCGAAAATGATATAAATAACGAAAATTACGTGATACACTTTTTCCCTTTCTCACATGTTCTGACCATGAACCGAGCTTCGGAAGCCCACGATTAGCCCACGATTAGCCCCCTTGTTTGCCCCAGTCTGTCTGCCGCTTCCTGCTCTAGGATCATATCCCTATTTATCCCAGATCTGTTTCCACATTATCAACCCATCTAATCCATCATCGATCAGTGGGACGGAGGGCGTTATTGTTTATCTTTGATGTTCTTCGCTTTGTCTACTTCTCCAGATTTCCTCCACACGTATCTCCCTTTACTTAAAAAGCTAAAAATTATGTAAGATTTGTATGTATTTTTGTATGTTGCCGATGCATAACGCACATAATTTCTGTAAAGATTTACATTGTGTTTTCTTGTGTTCTTCTGTCTGTAATGTTACGTCTCATCCATACACATTCTTATCCTAATATATAAAACCCGTATTCGCACTTCTCTCCCATTCTGTCATTGTCACATTTTGTCTAAGTCTTTGAGATGATAATTTTCAACAATATTGGTTGTACTTCATTATATTGATATCAACAATATTCATGTTCGAGAATACGAAGCAATTAATTAGACGGACGACCAAAATGATTCTTTTGTCAGGCGAAAATGAATTAATATTTGGCAACACAAAAAACCAACAACAACCCAAGAGATCCCCCCCCCCCCATTAAAAAAAAACTCAAAAAAAAAAAAAAAAAAAAAAAAAAAAACCAAAATACAAACAAACAAAAACAATAAAAAAAAAAATCCAAATAAACAAAACAACAACAAAACAATAAATAACCGGGTATTAACTGAATTAATTAAAGCACTGAATTAATTCGGTTAGGTTTTTTTTAACTCACTTTGGTATTTTTTCAGAGATTTTGGTTTGTGATTAGCTTGATTTAGCTGTATCTAAAGTGTTTTAATTATTGGTTGTTTCAGTCACGGAAAGAAGACCGGGAGAAAGAGAAAGTGTTACAGAAAAAACTCGGGGAACTGACCACACAAGTCCAGCGCCTGGAGCGTAGGATCTCACTACTGCGGACAGAGAACGATGCGCTTGTAAGTTGTGCTTTGATTTTTTTTTTGTATAGTGTGTGTATGTAGTGTGTGTATGTACCGTGTGTGTATGTACAGTGTATGTATGTACAGTGTGTGTATGTACAGTGTGTGTATGTACAGTGTGTGTATGTACAGTGTATGTATGTACAGTGTGTGTATGTACAGTGTGTGTATGTACAGTGTGTGTATGTACAGTGTGTGTATGTACAGTGTGTGTATGTACAGTGTGTGTATGTACAGTGTGTGTATGTACAGTGTGTGTATGTACAGTGTGTGTATGTACAGTGTGTGTATGTACAGTGTGTGTATGTACAGTGTGTGTATGTACAGTGTGTGTATGTACAGTGTGTGTATGTACAGTGTGTGTATGTACAGTGTGTGTATGTACAGTGTGTGTATGTACAGTGTGTGTATGTACAGTGTGTGTATGTACAGTGTGTGTATGTATAGTGTGTGTATGTATAGTGTGTGTATGTACAGTGTGTGTATGTACAGTGTGTGTATGTACAGTGTGTGTATGTACAGTGTGTGTATGTACAGTGTGTGTATGTATAGTGTATGTATGTACAGTGTGTGTATGTACAGTGTGTGTATGTACAGTGTGTGTATGTACAGTGTGTGTATGTACAGTGTGTGTATGTACAGTGTGTGTATGTACAGTGTGTGTATGTACAGTGTGTGTATGTACAGTGTGTGTATGTATAGTGTATGTATGTACAGTGTGTGTATGTACAGTGTGTGTATGTACAGTGTGTGTATGTACAGTGTGTGTATGTACAGTGTGTGTATGTACAGTGTGTGTATGTATAGTGTATGTATGTATAGTGTATGTATGTACAGTGTGTGTAGATGTTTGGAAAAGGTCAACTGTCAGTGAAGCAGAAGCAGCCGTGATGTCGTGGGCCCAACTTGGAGGAATGGCCCAGAACCGAGTTATAAGGAGAGGTAGGGTTGTGTCCCTATGCTCCACAAGGTGTCCACATGAATGTTGATGTTGTTGATGATGGTGATGGTGTGTATAGATAGAGATCTAAGTGGTGCTAAGGCTTGTCTGAATATCACTGTAGAAATGCCTTGTAATAATAACTTAATTAAGTAACCCTTACAATAAAGGACAGAAAAATATCTAAATAATTAAAATCCTGGTAAAATTAATATTTCGGATCAGACCTAACAATCATTATGGCAGATGAAATGGAGTTCAGTGTAATATTTTACTCATTTTTTCTGAAGACAACGTTACATGTGTATTAATTGTTGTAACAACGATTGTCACATTTTTCTCATTTTTTCTAATGACAATGTCACATTTTTCTCTTTTTTTTTATTTTAAAAAAACAATATCACATTTTTCTTTGAATGACACTGTCACGTTTTTATCATTTCTTCTAAAGGCAGTGTCAAATTTTTCTCATTTCTTTGAATGACACTGTCTTGTTTTTATCTAGCGACAGAAACAAGATGACCAGAGGCCACTGGAGGAGAAGATCAAATCTCTCAAGAAGAGAAATGCAGAGCTGGCGGCCATTGCCAGGAGACTGGAAGAGAAAGCCAAAAATCTGCAACAAGAAAACACTAAAGTAAAATCAGTAAGTTTTGGTCGTTATAAAGTGAGAGTCAGTAAGTGGGGGCGGGGGGGGGGGGGGGTGTCTTAGTGTTGCCCATTGTCCTGGACGGTGTAATGTGATGGTCAGTCACTCTGGGAGGAAAGGGGGGGGGTCCCTTGTGTTGTCCATTATCTTGGTCGTTGTAATGTGCTGGTCAGTAATGGTCAGTAAGTCCTCTGTGTTGTGTATTGTTCTAGATGTTGTTATATGAGAGTTAGTAAGTCAGGGAGGGAAGGGGGGGGGGCTGTGAAAGACCCTGGTGTTCTCCATGTTCTGGATGTTGTAGCATGACTGTTTGTAAGTCTGGGGGCGCTGGGGGTCCCGGATGCTGTCTATTGCCCTGGACATAGTAATGTGATGGTCAGTATTTTCTTGGTGTTGTCCATTAATTTTTTTTTTATTAGAAAGATAAATTAAACACAAGTTTTAAAAATAAATAAACACAACTTTTAAAAACATTCCCACAATGGTTTGGTTGATCCAATAGTCTCTAACAAACTACTTTAAAACTTTGGGTGGGGATTAAAAATTATCAAAAATAATTTTCTATGAACACAAAATATCTTACCCAAACTAATATATGTAAATTTATTCTGTAAGAAGTCGCCAGGTACTACTACCAAAGATGAAATAACCCAGGACTCGGACACTTCAAAAAGGATGCTGGCTAGACAGAGAGCCAAAGATCTGGCGGAGCATGCCAAAACCATGCTGGCCAAAGACAAGGAGATAGAGGACCTGAGGAGGAAGTGCCAACAGCTGGCCAATCAGCTGAGTGATGCCGACCTTGCTGCACCTGTAGTGAGTAGACATTCTAGTTTTAGAACCAGCGTTCATACAAATTGTTTTAAGTGTCTTCATATAGGATAGTTGTAAGAAGTTACAAGAACTATCTTAACTTATTTAATATAATTATAAAAGTTAGTTTCTACAGAACAATTATCATAACCGTTTTCTGTAGATGGATAATAAGAACTTGACATTTTTTCCAATTTATCAATAAAAGTTACCTTTTTCCTATATGTTAGTTATGAAAACAGGTCGTTTTTTTTAAAGAACAATGACTTTTTTTTAGATCAGTTTAGATTTAGTCATATGAGATAATAGGTGTTTGCTCATTCATTTGATTCAAACCAATAAACTTAAGGTTCATCTTTGAACAATAGAATACCCACAATCTAATACATGTATTTAAATTTTTTTTTGGAATGTTTTAACTATGGATTGTATGAAGTTATTTTTAGAACAATTTTAAGTTAGAAAATGTAACTATAGCAAGATTAAACATGTTTGACTTAAGCAGAAAAGTTTAAAATAAAAATATGTAGCTAAGGCAAGACTAGCCATGTTTGACTTAAGCAGAAATGTTTAAAATTAAAAAAATGTAACTATGACAAGGTAGCCATGTTTGACTTGTGCCAGAAAAGTTTAAAAACAAAAACTAAACCTTTGACCAGAATGCCGTCCAGTTTGAGGAGAAGGAGGAGCTGGTCAACATCATCAAACAGGCGGCCAAAGAGAGGCTACAGCTGGAGCAGCAGTTGGCCCACACCAGGACCACACCTGTGAGTCTTTCAACCTTCACACACCTGTTCTTTGCTCATCAGTTGATTCAACCTTTACTCACCTGTTCTTTGCTCATCAGCTGATTTTAACACATCTCCACAACCTCCTACATTTTCTATTTTCTGTCTCGTTATGTGTGTATATGGTCAAAAATGTATGTTATGTTTTTTAAATTATGCATTTGTATGCACTGTAACTATTTTATAGTTCATCATCTTTTCCTGTTCGTGCCCAAGACACATGGGGCAGATGAAGTAGATCTCATTTGTTTCATGACCTGGCTATTTGAAGGGATAGTGTGGATAGCAGTCTACAGAGTTTCTTCCAGGCAAATTTTACCGCCCCCCCCCCCTGAATGAAATGAAATTTATATAATTTATATAGAAAATATATACTTTTTACAGTGTCGCCCCCCCCCCCCCCCCCCCCCCGGAGAAAAAAGTCTGGAAGAAACACTGGCAGACTAGCACTCGAGCTCTAGGCCACGCTGTCCCACTATATTTAGTTGCCTGAAGATATAGTAAACTGTAAGATTTTACTCAAATAAAGAAGATATCTAAATATTTACATGAGTTCTATAAGTGGAATGAGGTTGTCAAGTGTTAAAAAAAAATCCTACAAACTTAATTAACACTAATAGTTTTTTTTTTCTAAAATTAATACAAGGCAGACTAAATTTAGTACAATTCCACATAACTCGGAATTCTTGTATTCTTTAGTAAATACTGGATTACGTCCCATTTTATAACGAACTTTTTTTTTTTTTGGTTTTGTTTTGTTTGAATATTAAAGTTGTTTGGGTTTTTGAAAAAAAGTAATCGGGAATGTTATGTTTAGAATTAATGATTCTAATAAAAACCAAATGTTTGATTTGTTTAAAACAAAACCTCACAAAAACAACCATCTCAAATATTAAAGAAAAATTCATTTAAATTGCGGATAACTATTGATTTTCTCGTTTTTTCTCCCTTATCATGATGAAATTACTAATAAAAATAATAATTCCATAACTCCTTGCTGCTGATTGTAATCGGTCTTTTAAATAGCTAATTATCTTACGTCAATAAAAATTCAAATTAAACGCGAAGAGTTGGAGGATAGTTAGCGAATAGTTAGTTCGCGGGTGGTCTTATAACTTAGTACATACGCATCCTGTCTTTGTTGTAAAAACATTGTTCTTCTACCCCCCCCCCCATATTATGGTAATTAATATGAGTGTAAATTAATGGTAACAGCGTTTATAATATCAACATTTTGTCCTTTAATATTCGCATTACCTCCCCTTTTTATGGTAACACTATTATTACCCCATGGTAACAATCTCATTACCTTCACATGGTAACAAGAATTTTGTATCTAGTAACAATCCCCACCGTTTCTGCGAATGATCTTATTACCCTTTCCCCTTGTAACAATCTTTTTTCCTCACCCTGGTATTGATCTTATTACCTCCCCCTTTTCTGGTAACATTACCCTCCTTTTTCTGGTAACAATCTTATTACTTCCCCCTGGTAACAATCTTGTTTTATCTTGACTGCACAAACCCCTACCAAACGTCTTGATTTGATGCACAAGCCCCTACCAAACGTCTTGATTAGATGCACGAACCCCTATCAAACGCCTTTATTCATTGATCTATTTATAACACGGCCACTAAAGAAACGACCAGAGACGGACGAAGAGATACGAGCGATTGCTGGCTAGTTTATAATCCGTTACGATCCTATCTGTTCCCATAACAGGCAGGAATCATCACACGAGGCGGCGAGAGCGTCAATACATTTACGAGTGCAATAAAGTTTATCTTTATATTTTAGAGTGCTTATTTTTTCACGGCGGCGTCATTTTTTTCCGCATATTCGTCATTTTTTTATCCTCATATTCGCATGTTTACTAGAATTGCAAAAATCTCATCAGTTTGTCCAACACACACACATACGTTATCCCCATCCTCCCCAACCTAAAAAACAGAAAAGTTGGGTCTGAGAAATAAACTCTAAGAAAACCCGTCCAATAGAATTCCAACAAACAAACCAAAAATCTTGTAAAAACTCATGCTATCCCCAATAACAAAACCTAAATCACGGCTTATAAAAAATCAAGTCTGAGCAACAGATCTTCTAAACAAATCCCATAAACAAATTCCCAAGACAAATCATATAAACAAATCCCATAAGTTCCATTAAAAGTCTCGTAAACCGTAAACAAGTTCCAGAAACAGTTTTTTTTAAATTTACTTTTCTTGTAGTAAAGTACAATATAGTCCCATAAACAAGTTCCATATACAAATCTATGAGCCACACCTACAATTTCCTTCCATTTGATCCATGCTGTAGTCTATACAGTCATATATTTCAATCCAATCAACCACATATTTACCGGTTCCATTGTCTCACCCGGTTAATAGCGCTTTAATGTATTTGCTCCTCAATGTATAATCTGGTTGGTGCTTTGTTGTGGGGGATAAAGTCCCGATAGCCTTGACCTTGATGGGAAATGCTATTACTGTAACAAGGTTACTCGCGCTTCCTCGCCACTGCTTTGAGGCAGGAAAATGCCAATCTGCCCACAGAAAGCCACTCGTCAGGTAACGAGCTTTAGCCATTTTTGTACGAGGGGGAGTGGCGGCTGAGGGGTCTTTGTTGTATAGATGGGGTCACTACAGCTGGGGTCATTAGAATGGGGATCACTACAGATGGGGTCAATACAACTGGGGGTCGCTACAGCTGGGGTCACTACAGATGGGGTAACTACAGCTGGGGTCACTACAGATGGGGTCACTACAGCTGGGGTCGCTACAGCTGGGGTCACTACAGATGGGGTCACTACAGCTGGGGTCGCTACAGCTGGGGTCACTACAGATGGGGTCACTACAGATGGGGTCGCTACAGCTGGGGTCACTACAGATGGGGTAACTACAGCTGGGGTCACTACAGATGGGGTCACTACAGCTGGGGTCGCTACAGCTGGGGTCACTACAGATGGGGTCACTACAGATGGGGTCACTACAGATGGGGTCACTACAGATGGGGTCACTACAGATGGGGTCACTACAGATGGGGTCACTACAGATGGGGTCACTACAGATGGGGTCACTACAGATGGGGTCACTACAGATGGGGTCACTACAGATGGGGTCACTACAGATGGGGTCACTACAGCTGGGGTCGCTACAGCTGGGGTCACTACAGATGGGGTCACTACAGATGGGGTCACTACAGATGGGGTCACAACAGATGGGGTCACTACAGATGGGGTCACTACAGATGGGGTCACTACAGATGGGGTCACTACAGATGGGGTCACTACAGATGGGGTCACTACAGATGGGGTCACTACAGATGGGGTCACTACAGATGGGGTCACTACAGATGGGGTCACTACAGATGGGGTCACTACAGATGGGGTCACTACAGATGGGGTCACTACAGATGGGGTCACTACAGATGGGGTCACTACAGATGGGGTCACTACAGATGGGGTCACTACAGCTGGGGTCGCTACAGCTGGGGTCGCTACAGATGGGGTCACTACAGATGGGGTCACTACAGATGGCGTCACAACAGATGGGGTCACTACAGATGGGGTCACTACAGATGGGGTCACTACAGATGGGGTCACTACAGATGGGGTCACTACAGATGGGGTCACTACAGATGGGGTCACTACAGATGGGGTCACTACAGATGGGGTCACTACAGATGGGGTCACTACAGATGGGGTCACTACAGATGGGGTCACTACAGATGGGGTCACTACAGATGGGGTCACTACAGATGGGGTCACTACAGATGGGGTCACTACAGATGGGGTCACTACAGATGGGGTCACTACAGATGGGGTCACTACAGATGGGGTCACTACAGATGGGGTCACTACAGATGGGGTCACTACTGCTGGGGTCACTACTGCTGGGGTCACTACAGATGGGGTCACTACAGATGGGGTCACTACTGCTGGGGTCACTACAGCTGGGGTCACTACATCTGGTGGTCATTACAGTTGTATACAATCTTTCTTTTTTTAATTGTTTTCTTTTGGTTTTCAACCTAAGAAGCAACAAAACTCACCTATTTGATTTCTAACCAACTAAATTATGGTATAACAATAGTTTACACTACAGCATATTTTAACTTTGTCGACTTTCATCTAATTGCAATATCACATGTTCACCTTTTCTTCACCTTCATAGTCTTAAAAAATTAATTATTTCTGTTAAAAATAGAATTGCAGTATTTAGAACTTAAAAAAAATGTTTAGAAGAAGCGAGAACGTGGATCAAAATAGACTTAATTAAGATTTCGATTTCAGGAAGTGTTTGCGGGTTGTAATGTGAGTGTTGTCCTGACTAGCTGATGTCAGTTGACATTGGCATATGGTAGTCAGACAGCAGATCTGAGACACGGATAGGTGGAGTCGCGTGCACTCTGTCACGTATGTTGTCACGTGTCACACATGTCCAGGGGCGTGGTGAGGGGGGGGGGGGACGGGGGGTGCGGACCGCACCGGGTGACACCATTTAGGGGGTGACACCAAGGCAAAAAATAGCAAAATATATAGAGAAAAACTTGAGGGGGGTGCAAATCGAAAGTTTGAGGGGGGGGGGGTGCAAATCGAAAATTTGAAAGTTTGTCGCTACGCCTCTGAGGGGTGACACCATTAAGTGCCGCACCGGGTGAAACCCGACCTCGCTACGCCACTGCACATGTCACATAATGTCACATGTGTTGTCACATAATGTCACACGTGTAGTCACATATTTTTACACGTATTGTCACATAGTGTCACACATATTGTCACATGACATACATGTCACATAGTGTCACACATATTGTCACATAAGGTCACGCCTGTTGTCACATAATGTCACATTATCACACGTTGACCGTCGTAAAATATTGCCAATAATTCTTATATCACTTCACTATCACTAACTCTCACTTCACTTCACCTCACCCCCCCCCCCCCCCCACCCACATACCGACTAGGGTTATGTCTG